ATTTCATTTGAAGAAATAGCGTGTCGTCTATTTCCTCTCTAGCGTATGTAGTGGTTATTTTTAGGCGCAATATTTAACTACTTCCGGCAAGGCGACTTTTACCTCGTGCCTATTTTATGGTCTTTGATATGATACCTACCGACGAGGTTGATGTCTAGCATTTTTGTAGGAACTCTATAATTATAGCAAAGGTGCCTGGACGTCAGTGTTGCCATTTTAGTTATTTTCCAGCTAGATTTAGCCGTTTTTTTGCTGCTTAGCTAGAAAAAATTCCAATTTAGCTGCTAGCTTTTTTTTAGCTTTTTTCTGAAAATCGTTTAGCTCTTTCTAGCTTTTTTTTTCTAAATTTAGGGAAATCCAAATAAAAAATATGTGTAAATAAACACGACTAAAGTTGCATGTACATATCGTCCTTCTGCCTTAACTTCGTATCTGCAATAGAGGTATTTTAGAGAGTGTAAGAAAGTATGTTTATTTTCTTCCCCTAGGATACAATAAACGCATTTTTTACTTACTATTTCTGGTTCCAGTAACAGTAGTGAGTACCCTCCTTAGGTCTCTGTTCTATTTTAAAATAGTGTGACGCTTAAGCAGCTGTTATAAGTGGTGATATTAGTTTTCCCAAAAATTGTAGATACGTGGTTAAGGCAGAAACGGGACGATATGTCCACCTATACTGTATGCGCCCTTAACTCTGTTTGAGGGTACAAATAATAGATTATTGCAATACTATGTTCATCACTAAGGTACTTTTGGCACAGTTTTCTGTTGGCTGCAGTGCTGCCAACTATTTTCGAGTAAAAATCCAGATTTTTATAAAAACCCACTAGACTGAGGCTGATCGACTTCGCCGGGGCCCGAAATATGGTAATATGTAGTACTAGGTTTCAGCATAAGAACATCCACCAAGGTACATGGCTGTCTCCAGATCGAAAAACGAGAAACCAAATCGATCATGTTGTGATAGACGGAAGGCATGCTTCAAGCATTTTGGACGTACGTACACTCCGAGGGCCAAACATCGACTCGGACCACTATCTTGTACAGCAAAAAATGTGCACCCAACAATGCAAGGAAAGCTTAACGTCGAAAAGCTGCAATCACAACAGACGGCCAATTTATTCGCCACTCGACTCACACACCTGCTCTCTGAGAGCACTCTTCAACAATCCGACGTACGCGAGCAGTGGAACCACATTTCCCGATCATTAAGTACCGCCGCCGAAGAAGTAGTTGGATTTCAGCGAGCCCGAAAGAACAACTGGTACGATGAGGAATGTCAAGAAGCCGCAGAGAAAAAAGATGCCGCCTACAGGGCCACGCTGCGATCGGGCGCAACGCGAGCCATGTGGGACCGTTATAGGGA